TGCACACATCTTCCATGTAATGCCCTAATACTGTTGGTCATCCACTATCTTAGGCAGAGTAAGAAACCAGGTGGTTCAATGATGGGATCATCTAAAGATATGCTTAGTAAATGCCAGGGTCTGCCCACTGCATCTGCCAGGTGTCTTCTGGGTTGAAGATGGATGACAGACTTGCTTCTCCATCTGCCCGGAATGGGTGGTGGGACTTAAGGCGAGTGTGAGACCGTGAATGAGGTTGTCATGGAGCAGGAGCTTTTGGTTAGCGAGAGCTTTCTTGTACTCACACATCATAGCCACCTCTCACTGTATGATTGGAGGAGGGATGTTTTTGAGGACTGGAAGCAAAGGCAGCAAAGTGGATTTCAGGGTGCCAGTTACAAGTCTCATAGCCGCATTTAACTGGATAGCAATGAGGTCTGTGTACAAGTTTCTTCCCCAGACAGCTGCGCGGAACTTGGCTGTGGAATAAACTAAAACCACTGTTGCCATTCATGGCATTCAAGCAGTGCAACCCCAGCTAGAACCTGCTTGCTTTTGGAAGATATTGTTATGACTGTGTTTTATGGGTCACCTGTTTCAGATGTTGATAGATAAGGTTGTGATGAAGAGATGATCATGGGTGATTGCCTTGCCACAGAAGTTTATGTTCAGCATCCTATAAGCTTCAGAATTGCTGAGATGGAAAGCTGACGACACAGTTTTTGATGGATTGGGTTTGAGTTGCCAGTACCGAAAACAGTTTTCCATCTTCTTCTGATCAGCATTAAGGGTGTCTTCCGTTTTGCTGGATGTTGAGGCCTGTGTCGCTAATGACAGATCATCAGTATAAATGAGCACCTCAGGCATATCACTTATGTATAAGTTAAAAAGGGATGGTGCAAGTACTGATCCTTGTGGGAGGCTATTGTGCAGCCTCCACTTTTTGCAAACCTGATTTACGAGATGGGCACGGAACTTTCTTCTTTGAAAGCATTGACCTAGTGAGTTGAAATGTCTGGCTGGATTGAAGCAGGTTGGATAACTTCAGCTCTAGGCCCTTGTGCCAGACACTGCCATAGGCTGATGACAAGTCAATAAAAGTTGTGGCCATTTTAACCTTCCACTGAAAGCTGGCCTCAATATGTGTACCACAGAACTAACTTATGTGCACTAAAATTTTTTAAAAAATTATGTTGATATGCCATATCATGCAACTTTCCCCTATACATGACATTGAGAAACAAACTATCCCAAAAAGTGCCTGGCTGAATTGTACTTGGACAAGTATCTGGAAGATAATTAGTGAAAGCTGATTTGGTTTTTTAAATACTCAGTCCTATGGTCTCCATAGTTTATTCCAGGTAATAGAATTAGGCTGGAAGGTCATTATAGTTACTTGCTCATAAAGAACAATGAGCAGGTAACTATAATATCAAGGGCTAGATATTTTCATTCCTGTCTGTCAATAACCCATATCATTGGATAATAACATGGGCAATCTTTTCTCTAAGGGAAAAATGTAGAAACATATACAGCAATAAATATTTCTGTTTGAGAGTCTTATGAGGAGACATCAGACAAAACAAAATCAGTTCTTAGAGGCTTTTCTCATACTTTCTCATCCTGTGGCTTACATTACTAGCCTCATTCTGTTATTCTGTTCTGGCACTGTCATCAGCATCCCTTTTTCAATTATGGTTTGGGCTTTCCTGGAGTCTACTGCTGATAGTGCAGTATTCACTGCAAAGCCAGTTGATCATAATGGACTTCAGTAGAATTGGGAGCCACACTTTATTTGAAAGGTGTCTTGTACATAAGAATCTCACGCTCAGGAGGGGCAGTCTATACAAGCTTCCCATTTTTTAAACCTTTGTACAACATAAGGTTTACAGTCTGAACCAAAACATTTTATTTGTGGAATGATGCTACAAAGAGCATGACACCACACACTCTCACAGAAGTACTTTCCAGTGGAGTGTTCTTTCACTTAACCTGGTTTGTATTTGATTAAGAGTGACAGATGTGAGAATGGGATTCTTAAAATACAGCAAGTTTTTTATGCTCACATGTGCAACAGCTTTTGAAATCTCTGCCTGATTTGCTGAATGTCCCAGGTGCAGAGGTGCACACAGTTCAGGCAGAGACATCCCATAGGGATATATTTATTAAAGGGGGAAACTCTATATCCTAGTAAAGGGAAAAGGAAAGAAGTTGGTAAAGTACAGGCAGGCACTCGTGAGGAACAGTCCAATAAAATAGAGTCACGTTGAAATATAACACATGAAGGCAAGCAATTGAATATTGACAAAATTTACAAGTGCTATATGCAAATGCTAGAAGTCTAAATACTAAGATGGGTGAACTAGATAGAGTGCTTGGTATTAAATGGGGATATTAATATAATAGGCATCACGAAAACTTGGTGGAATGAAGATAATCAAATGACATGGTAAAACCAGGCAGCAGGTTTACTACAAACAAGAAAAAGTACTTCTTCACACTATTAACCTGTGGAACTCATTCCTATGGGATGTTGTGAAGGCCAAAAGTATAACTGGGTTCAAAAAAGAACTAGATAAGTTCAAGGAGGATAGGTCCATCAATGGCTATTAGCCAGGATGGTCAGGGATGCAACTCCATGCTCAGGGCAGCTTTAAACCTCTGACTGTCAGAAGCAGGAGAGGAAGATGGGTAGATCTCTCCAAAATCACCCTGTTCTGTCACCCCCTGAAGCTCCATGGCCACTGTCTGACACAGGATACTGGGCTAGATGGACCATTGGTCTGACCCACAATGGGAGTTATGTTCTTAAAAACAACCACAACAAAATTATTTACTCTTTCACTTGGGACTATCTTTTATTGGGTCTTATCACAAACTGTCTAGTGAAGCAAAATATTTTTGCCTAGCTCCGTAGAGTTTATTCCCTACTCTTTGACATAGCTGTACTCTGACATACACTTTGTGTTCATTTGCAAAGCATTCCGTTAGGAGTTCCAATCCATCCAGCATATCCTCTTATTGACACAATTACACCACTGTTAATGGGTTTTAATTGGTCTCATCTAACATATTGGCTCAGCTGTCTCATCAGGTTTCTGTTAAAGTATTAAAACTGTGTGATAATGAACATGTGGTAGATTAGGACTTTTAAACAATCCTCCAAGAGAAATATTAAAAAAATATTTAGAAGAGTCTCCAAAAATGGTTGAATTTATCTTCCCTAACATTTTACATCTCTTTAAGGCAGTGACAGAAAGAAAGAAGCAAAACTGCTATTTATTGCCTTTGTTTCAATATGAAATAGAGTTTTAAATGAAAGGGAATGAAAACTCTATACAAATAGCAGTTGAAATAAAGAATCACACACTGAAATCATTAAAAGGAAGTGGTTTCATGTTCCAAAGGAAGCTAGAAATGCATCTGGAAAAAGAGAGATTCAACGGGTACAGGCACTAACTACTAAGGAGTCCTGAACTAATGAGATACAAAACAATCTACAGGTATTTCATGGGCTTCAAAAAGACAAGCAATAATGGGCTATGTGGCCTTCTTCAGGACCTTATGAGTAAATTTGAAAAGAGGCACTTGGGGGTTCCATCTGCATGACTCACAGTAAAGCCCCTGGGAGTTGTGCAGCTAAAAATCCTGCTCTAAGCATGTACTTTCCTAGGTTCTCTTAAAAGAAGCTCACCAGTACAAAGAAGCAGACTTATTTAAAGTCTGGGGCGGGGCGGGAGGGGGAAACTCCCATTAAGCAGCAATAGTTTAAAAACCATATGATATCATATCAAAACTTCCAAGCCCAGTTGACTAAATTTGGGTGCCTAAAGCCATATTTAGATGAATGTTAGATTTCGGAACCAAACTTTAGGCACTTGTGTTTGAAAATTTGGATTGTACTATATACTATACAAAAATAAAATACATTACATTGTATAATAAAAGAATATTGCAATAAAATTAATGTTGAACAATGATGCTTTTATTGTAAAAAAAACAATAAAGCATTATATTCTAACATACAGGATTCAAATGAGTTCCACCTTTCTCGTGCAGAGAACATCAAAAATGTTTACAAGAAATATTTCATATAAAGAATATTATGCATTTCACCTACTGCAGCTTAACTGAATGTATCAAACAGAATTAAGAGAATCTTGACAAATTTAGCTTCTCCTTTTGCCTGTGGAGTATCTTTAAGCAGATCATGATTTTCCTGAATTTGTTCATTATTCAAATTCAGAATTTTCTTTCTCAATCAGTTGATCATGAGTGTTTGAAATTAAACTTTGTTGTGATTGGTTAGATAATTCACATGGTATTAGTTCTGTTCCAAGGTTAGATGAATACACAAGTGCTTTAAGTGTGAGTATTTCCATGTGCAAATCTAAAATTCAGTTTCCGCAAATTCTAAAGGATGAAACTTTGAGGTGTTTTCAGCAGAAACTTTCTGCAGAAAGCACACCCAAAAGGAATGTGATCTTGGCTAAGGATAGTTCTTTTAAAAATGTAAATAAATATGCACAGAACACTTTTTGAGAGTGTATTTATTGGGAACCTTTTACAAAAGGAAAATGAATTCACAAAAGGTGACATTTTGGCCTCACTGAAGTCAATTAAGTGTGTTGCTTCAGTGGGGCCAGGATTTCACGCAAAGGATTTAAGTGACTTGCCCTTAAGCATACAAAGTCTTTGGCAAAGAAGGGAATTAGAACTCTTTTATTTTGACTCCCATTCTTGTGCCTTAATTACAAACTAATTTTTACTTTCTCCATAGATGGAAGGATTGTGTTTGTACTTCAGTTTTAAAGTACTTTATAAATCCTAGGTGTTATTGAAATTAGTTGTTACGGTTTGGTTTTATGTTACAATGCAAGTAATGTAGAAGTAATGTAGTAGAATTTTTCATGTTCCTCCTTTACTTTTTAATTTGTCATTAGTTCTCCATGTAGTTCTGTTGGCTTTCCAGTGCACTAATTGGAATGTGATTGCTAATCCGAATATTCAACTTTTTGCAGATTTCCAGGCTTTGGGTCTGAAGAAAGGAATGTTCTTCAACCCAGACCCATACCTGAAGATTTCCATTCAGCCTGGAAAGCACAGCATCTTCCCAGCACTTCCTCACCATGGACAGGAGAAGAGATCCAAGATCACGTGTAATACTGTGAACCCTATCTGGCAAGGAGAGGTAGGCAGCTGAGTATCTCCCATTCTCTAGACTGCTCTATTCTGTTTTAGCCCTTTGTTTCTAACATTTTCTTAGAACCTGGAAATAAGCCTGATGATATCTCAATCACAGTACGTTAAAAAAATCTAGCTTCTTCTTTGTTACCAAACAGGGTTTTATTTTTTAATGTAAAAAAGCTTAAATCAATCAAATTTATTGATTGGTCAATTTTGGTCAAATTTATTTTAACTACTGTTAGTGCTCAATAGAAAAGTGCATGCATATAAATTTTCTGGGTAACCCCCTTTGCAGCGTGCGTCAAACAGCTTGATCTATGTCTCATTTGGTTCTAAGGTTAACTTACAATTTAGTACAATCATAGGACTACATACAGCTTCAGCTTCACTTATTTTATCTTTTTCTCAGGCAGAAATATATTTTACCCATACATTTCCAGTGTATTTGAATATCTGTTTATTTGTTTTGTACATCAGATTTTTGCTAATTTAAGCTCCTGTTATTTATTTGTCTAATACACTACCAAAATACTTATTCCCTAGTTAACGATTCTTGACCCAATCATTTCTAGCAGGCTAGCATTTTTCTTTACATGACTTCAAAAGCATCAAGTCTGGCTCATAAGCAATCTATAAGTCTTATAAAAAATATCTGGCCCATAGGTCAATATGGTTAAAATTGTGATTTAACTGATTGTTCTTGTTACATGATAATCCTAAATGTATTAATGCCAAAGGCATAATTTCCTACTAAAATGAATGTTAGATTAATACTTTCCATACATATTGTATTTTAAGGCCATAATTTTAAAAAATCATTATTGAATGTAGGCATCACCCAGCATTGAAAAATATAATTGGATGTTTTTGAAAACTGCTGTTAGACTGATTGAAGTTCTTGTAGTTATGAAAATAGAGAGAGAATATTATGTGAGGTGATACAGATGCAGCATGCAATCAAAAAGGGGTGTGTGTGATTTAAAAATGTCAGTGGTAATGTAAATTAGAGGCAGATTTGGCACATTTGCTCAACACCTGGAAGAAATACTCTGAAATCAGCTGCACCTGCTGATTCAATAAGCACCAGTGAGAACTTAGTGCATTTCACAGTTGCCTGCTGCTTTTAAAGTATACTTGAAACAGCAGCATACAGCACCTCTGTAGTAAATGAAGGGCACTAAACACAAAGGGCCTGATTTACCAGTGTTTTCTATTGGGCCAGTTAGTTCCATTTCAGAAAAGTGGTAAAAAAAGTCCAAAACAAATACATGGATCCAAATTAAATATAAACTGGAAAATAATCTATGCCAAAGGTGGGGGGAAGAGGTTCAAAGAACAGCGACTGCACGCTCCTGCACAGGAGATGGGCAGCATTAGGGAGCACAAGGACTATGTGAGTGTAGTCGTACTTGATACCCCAGAGGAGGGAACAGGGACATGGCCTGAATCCTTCATTCAGTATTAACTGGTGCAGCTGGCAACACTTGCAGTGGAGGAACATGCTGTCCCTGTGCAAATAGTGATAAAGTGGCTGTACTCATGGGGACTGAGGGGGATTTTCTGAAGCATTCAGTACAAACCTAACTCTGCTCCCCCTCAGTGAAGTCAATACAGTTAAATATAATTTACTTTTGCTTTTAGTCCCCTTTGCATTACCAGAGCAGTAAAAAATGGCTTTAGTCTAAATGAGACTCACGCCCTCTGAGACTGACTGCTGCTCTGACAGTTTGTCAGCACTCCTTGTTCCTCAAGTCATGCCGGGATGTCGGAGTTTGTTCAGTGACATTCCATTTCAGACAGAGTTTTGGAGTGATGGAGGAAAAACAATCAGATGGCCTAATTGGGGCTTGAACAAAAAAAAAAAAAAAGAGTTCAGCGGCTTCAAACTTTTTCACCCAGCCCCATGGTTCTCTTGATCACATGAGAGCCTCCAGGCTCTCATCTTTAGTACTGCTAGCCTGCATGACTAAGAAATTCTAACCAATTGTGGTGTCTGTCAATTGTACTCCGTTCCTGCCTTCTCTGCAGCCAATGTGAAGGCATTTAGCTGCCACAGCCCTTTAATACATTCTCTGTTCCCCAGGCACCAGTGACCTGAAACCTTCATCCGCTTGTCCATGTCTTAGCAATGAAAAACCAATGTCACTTTCCACTGAATAAAAGTTATTGGGCCTGATTCTCCATTGCCTTTCACTTTGTGTAGGGAGAATTGGAAATGCTATCAAACCAGAATGGCAGCATTTTATACCAACTCTATGTTTATTTTTCACAGGTATACATAACTACATAAGCAGAAAATCAGGCCCATGATGTGTACAAAGCTGGTGTGGGGTTTTTTCCCATGAAAATGTTTTAGGTCCTGAATTCATTTTAGATGAATTGGTTTTTATAAGGTGCTCTGTCATTGTGTAGTTGCTTGGTGTAAATAGCAACCAGATGTTCCTTTTTCTTAATTGAATGACAAGTCTAATTTGGGATATTTGCTCACCTCACCTGAAAATTCAGGGTGGGGGTTGAGTGAGGGAAGGAGGACTGTGCAGTCGTTATAAATGTCTTAAATCATTCATCAATCATCATGGGGTCTTAAATCAGCTGTTATGCCTGGCCAAACTCATAACTAATCGAGAGCAGAATTTGGCTCAGATTTTGTAGGTGCTATCCACATGCAGACTGTGAGGAAATGATTCATTCACTCACTTACATTCATGTACCCTAATGTTCCCTGGATATATACTATGTTGTTCCATATATTTAACCAGTACGCTTAGATTTCATGCAGTATAGCACCTTTTTATACTTAGTGTATCACTGAGCACAGTGCTCTGGGGTGAATTAAATACTGGGCATGTAATTCACCATAGGTATAGACAGCTGCAACTCTGTGAACTTGAGAGAGATTGCAACCACTGTGAATTTGGCCTTGGTACTGTGCTGCTTTGCAAAGAAAATTTGATCGACATTTTGTGACCATCATTAGCTCACACACACACTGGTATTTCATCATGTGTTCCTGGCTTTAGCCAGGTAGACAGTGTTACCTTTTAGACAGTATTCATGGATCTTCAGCTTTCATCTGAACAGCCACTAGGGAAAGGCAGAAAGGACCTTGGTTTAATTTCTCTTGCAAAGGTTGCACCCCTAGTGACTGATGCAGCGATCTTTCTGGTCCCCTATACACATACTGTCAGCTTTAGCTTTGAGTCCATGTCCTAGTGTGAATTGTTTTCCCCAGTAGCTTCTAGCTTAGAAATAAGAATGCTACAGGCAGAGATATACTTACAGCTCTGTGTCTGATTAATGTGAGAGCTATAGCACAAGACACAGGAATGGGAGTCTGGAGATATGGATTATATTACCAATTTTGCTTTTGTGCTGACTTTGGGCAACGTTTCTGGGCCTCAGTTTAACCATCTGTATTATTAATATTCTGATAACACTGAGACATCCCAGTCAAGACACGAGCTCCATTGTGATTCATGCTGTATAAACATAAAGAGACAGTCCCTGTCTGAACAGTTTATAGTCTAAATGACTGGACAGGCAAATGGTGATAGGAGAAAGAAAGTAGTGTTACTTCATTTTATGGATGGAAAATTGAGGCACAGGGAAATTAAGGCCAAGATTTTCAAAAGCAACCAATGATTTTAGGAAGCTTAAATTTGGGGTGGCCAGCATGAGACATCATAAAGGGCCCTGATTTTTCAGAGGATAAGTGCTCAGAACTTTGTGAAAATTAGGCCCCTTTAAAGTATCTGCCTTTAAACACCCCAAAATTGAGGCACCTGAAATCACTGGCTACTTTGAAAAGCTTGGCTTAAGTGATTTGCCCCAGGTCACACAGGAAACATCTGGTCAGCTCAGGAATTGAACACAGATTGGCTAAATTCCAGTTTAGTGCCTTAACCACAAACCTATTGTTCCTTTTTAACAATGGGTAAAATTTACTTATGTCAAGCTTCCTCCCCCACTCTGAACTCTAGGGTACAGATGTGGGGACCTGCATGAAAAACCTCCTAAGCTTATCTTTACCAGCTTAGGTCAAAACTTCCCCAAGGTACAAAATATTCCACCCTTTGTCCTTGGATTGGCCGCTACCACCACCAAACTAATACTGGTTACTGGGGAAGAGCTGTTTGGACACGTCTTTCCCCCCAAAATACTTCCCAAAACCTTGCACGCCACTTCCTGGACAAGGTTTGGTAAAAAGCCTCACCAATTTGCCTAGGTGACTACAGACCCAGACCCTTGGATCTTAAGAACAATGAACAATCCTCCCAATACTTGCACCCCCCCTTCCCTGGGAAATGTTGGATAAAAAGCCTCACCAATTTGCATAGGTGACCACAGACCCAAACCCTTGGATCTGAGAACAATGAAAAAGCATGCAGTTTTCTTACAAGAAGACTTTTTTAATAAAAATAGAAGTAAATAGAAATAAAGAAATCCCCTCTGTAAAATCAGGATGGTAGATACCTTACAGGGTAATTAGATTCAAAACATAGAGAACCCCTCTAGGCAAAACCTTAAGTTACAAAAAAGATACACAGACAGAAATAGTTATTCTATTCAGCACAGTTCTTTTCTCAGGCATTTAAAGACATCATAATCTAACACATACCTAGCTAGATTACTTACTAAAGTTCTAAGACTCCATTCCTGGTCTATCCCCAGCAAAAGCAGCATATAGACAGACACACAGACCCTTTGTTTCTCTCCCTCCTCCCGGCTTTTGAAAGTATCGTCTCCTCATTGGTCATTTTGGTCAGGTGCCAGTGAGGTTACCTTTAGCTTCTTAACCCTTTACAGGTGAGAGGTTTTTTTTCTCTGGCCAGGAGGGATTTCAAAGGGGTTTACCCTTCCCTTTATATTTATGACAACCTACCTTTGTAAAATTCTTTACGGTCTGCATCTGAAAAGTGGCAATAATGATCATATCTAATGTGCCAGTGCTTAAGTGTCTCAAAAAAATGAGTAACTTCCTAAAAAGTGTGACATAGCCTTATA